TCCATACGATACGTACTGTGATCTTTTTACGTGGAAATCTGCATTTCTTTCTAAGGAATACATTTTTTTTTTTTTTTTTGATCGGTAAATGTGAATATATTGATCAAAATTGTAACATGTACAAATACACCGGGCATACCCGGGCGAAACAAAGTCAATGATAAGTACAAGTACACCGGGCATTCCCGGGCAAATCAAAATCCAAAACTAAAACAACTACTCCGGGCATATCCGGGAGACACAAAGAAGGCAAAATACGTAAGAGATCAATGATCGACGGCCAAGGATTCAAAAAGAATCAAGACGTCCGGATATAAAGTAAACATGACTTTGTATACGTGTGTCTTGTGTAAGTATTATGCCCTAGGTCCAATCGACTTTGGACATAAATACTTTTATATATAATTAATGCAACATATGTGCAGATCTATTATTTAAAGAGCAGACAATTGTGCTAGCAAGAGCAACTCTCTTCGTCTTGGTCCTCCACGAAGTTCCACGATTCTCCTTTTTCATCCACTTAAGCGCAATGGCAAGTGTAGACATAGATCTTGCGATGCCAAGCCATCTCCTAATGCTCCCCCATAATGAGGAAGTGAAGGAGCACTTAAAGAATAGATGGTCACAAGTTTCCTCAAAAAGTCCACAAAAAACACACCTCCGATCAATATCCAAGAAGAGTAGTTTTTCTTTAGTCAGGATAAAGGTCCAAACATGATTATTGATAAATGCAGTGGAAGCCCACAAACACAATGACATCATCGTCCAAGCTTGCAAGACGCTCAGAATCTGAGCGAATAGAGTGCCTTACGGTCGTTTAGAGCGATGACCCCCTTCTCGTCCAAACCTTCGAATCGTCCAGAATCTTAGTAAATATAAAATATTATGGTTGTCTAGAATAACAATTATTAAAGCAGTTATTGAGTAATCTTATTACATTCCACGATTCAAGGAGCCCAGTTGAAGGCGGTTGAACGACAAAGAGTAATGGCAGCAGTTAGAGATGACAGTTCCACGACAAGTTAACCACCATAAAGAAAGTAGGTAGTTATAAAACAATCAAACAGTTTCCAAGCGATTTGTCACGAGGAAGTCATCGAAAGAATATAAAAAGGAAGAGAAAACATAGAATAAAGGCCCCCGAATCAAAAACACTCTCAAACAGAGAATATGTAATTTCGATTTCTTAATTTAAATTTAAACACTTCTTTTATTACTCGTGTTCTTGCGCCCCTTGGAGCCATTTTGTTTATTTCTAATTGTAAATCATCGCCAATAAAACACTCCTTTTTGGGACTTTGTCTCAAGAGGTCTGTTCCTT